TTTTGGGGGGGGTTGGGGGGGGGGGAGGGGGTGGAAAGAGGACAAGCCTTGCAATGCCAACCTTGATAGCATGGCAGCATCGCAGCTCCTGAGGTTCTACCCTGACTCCATTAAAATTACCCGTTGGATTGGATGAAGGAAAGGATGCTTTGCTTTTTGGGGGCTGCATGCCTGTGTAAACGCGAGCCTGCTGTTAGGCCACTTCAGGAGGAAGATAGAGGGAGTCATCTTGGTGTGCGTGTGACAACGCGGCTGCCACACAGGAAGAGGAAGCACCTACATGCGGGGCAGCCACTTAGCATTTTCTGTTCATTTTGCCCTGACCCGTCAGCCGGATTTAGTAGCAAGATGGGTCACTTGCGGAGAAAGAAGAGAAGCCCCGGGGGCTTGTTGCATCTGCCCCACGCTTGGCAGATTTCACATGAAAACCTTTCACGCAAAGATCCCCCAAACCCTCTCCTTAAGCAATATGTAGCCAGGAGGCAGCTAACCTGGAACTACACCTCCACAGCCCCTCGGCAGCGTCCTGCTTATGGAGCAAGCCCTGGCTTGTCTCTGCATGGGACGATACATCTCCAAATCCATATCTGACTGGAGAATTCAGCTCCTGACACACTTGCAGCAGTCTGCGCACACCACCCTTTACCCGACTTCCTTCCCCGCCCAGCCTCACATACAATATTCAGCTTTCCCTGTGCCCTTACACTGCTGTAACACAACTGCCCTAGCATCTCTTTACCTTCCCCATGTGCTGTTGCTACAGGACAGCCTGAATTCTCATTAACCACGATGGGAACCTTCCTGGAAGAAGTGTAAACACAAAAAGGTATCTCCTCATCTGATCAGGACATTATTTGCCCTTAGGGAAAAGGGAAGGCAACATCAGAGAAATATCTACTGGGCCTTATCCCAGCAGTGGCTGGAGAGGTGGAAAGCATGCTTTGGTGCGATCCTCTACAATAAACCCTCCTAATGCCTCCGTGTATTTAAATCTAAGGGTGGCAGAATAGTCCTCCAGGCATCACACAATCCAGGCACTGTGAAAAAAACAGGGAAGAACAATTCCTGTTCGCCAGGAAAAGGGGTTGGTACAAAGGGAGCAGTGGGGAAAAAAGGACTCGACCCACACGGGGATGCCCGCAAGAACTGCTCACTCCCTGCTGCGCTGAGGCTCTGTGCAGTACACCTGTGTCAGGAAAGGGGAGTCACTCTGGCTACCAGCTTTCCACTTCCCATTCTGGTTGAGCAGTTTGGGCTGAACCAAGGAGGAAGCAAAGAGCAAGGGTACATTTACCTACTTGCCCCTGGCAGGCTGCAGAGGCCATTTCTGATAGAGTTGCTGGATGTGACGCTGCACAGGCTTTGTTCTGGCGCTCATTATCTTAATTAAAAGCAAAAGCGACTTGGCCACCGATTTGCAATCAAACTATTCTCATCCCCTTATGAAGGGCAGATACCCTGTTATTCCCATGGGAAGAGCATCTCAGCACTATAATTCTGCTGACTTATTGGAAAAAAGTGTTAGTCAATACCATAATGAAACTGAGATCTCAGAGCCCCGTGTAGGTCTCTCCGGAGTATTCCCCCACCCCCAGGGCAGGTTGCTCATTCATCAGGCTGACATTCATTCCTCTGCTCATGTAAAAACCAAAAATGACCCAGCTAAAAACAGTTGCCCTTGTTTGTGTTCTTCTGATCTAGCAAAAAAATCCAAAAAAAAACCCCCCAAAAAACCATCAATGCAGTTTCACATTTGGGTGCATTAAAAGAGTGACCCATTTTTTTTGATCCAATCAAGATTACGCAGAAGGGTTGTAATCCATCCTGTACTGAGGTCACAGGTCTTAAAGTGTGCAGCAAAGTCCAAGTCCCATCACAGAGCAAACTGGAGGTTAAATCTTTGAAAGGTAGGGAAAGTTCAAGCTTCTCTGCACTTCTGACTAAGAATGAATACCCAAAGCAACAGCAGCCACACTCCAAGCTGGCTGAGAAGGCTGTTACTGAGTCAACAATTGGGATAGTGCACTGGGACACCTCCAGACAACCCATGGAGGAAGCAGTCATCAGAAAACCACTGTGGTTATATGTGCCCAATAACTGGAAAAGCCTCATTTGCGTAGCATGGATTGTATGGCACAATCAAGTGTAGCACTAGTACGGATTCCATGCCACAGCCACGTGTAGGTGTCTGACCTTCTCTGCATGCCAGTGACATGCAAAAACCCTCCCACTAATTGTGAATGGGGCCAGTTAACAGCTGATTGCCTTGTGGAGCAATTAAGTCACACCCTATTGTTAGCCACTGCCGAGTAAGAGCAAGGTAGGATTTTTCATAGAGGAGTAAAGTTGGAAGGGACTTCAAGAGTCTAGTGGTTTTCAGCCTGCAGTCTGCAGACCCCTGGGGGTCTCCAGACTGACTACAGGGTCTGCAAAAGATAACGATGATCAAACATATGTGAACACCCAACACTTGCAATTCAAAGGAGTCTGCACCTCCATTTGACCTTTTTAGGGGTCCACAAATGAAAATCAACCACCTATTCCAACCAGAGATTGAACTTGCAATCTATGTGTTATTAGCACCAAATTATAACCAACTGCACTAAATCAGCTTGGTGCTCGTTAGGTCAACAAATTGGGTAACCATGAGGTCAACAGCCTTTCACCTGCTGCAGAATAAGAGCGATCAGAGGAGGCACTGTGTGGGGTTGTCTGGGCACAAGCCTGCAACACGAGACCAGGGTTTTCTGCTACACACTTCCTGTGCCCCCTTGGCAAGTCAAGACTTTCTATGCCTGCACTCTCCATTTGGAGCAGGGGGAACCGAACACTGACTTCCCGCACACGGCACTCTTGGAAGATCAATGTGCCTCACGTATTAGGATGCCAGAGACATATAAGCTCCTAGGGAGATAAAGACTGGGAAATAAAGCAAGGTGGGGGGTGGTACATGGAGGAGATCAATCTATGGAGAGGAGGAGACTCATGCTGGCCACACTAGGAGCACCTGAACTTCTCTCTAATTAGCACCCCAATTAGCACAGCAACTTGTTTCTACTAGTAGGTCGTGCCAGAGACTCCCAGCCCGAGATCACATGCGAGTGAGGATGGAGGCACCTAACAAGTCACCTCTTAAAAGAGTTCTGCTGATGTGTGTGGTGGGGAGTGCACTAGGCAGCAGGTGTATCCAGCCTGCGTACAGCAGACACGGTATGTACAGGGCCTTCCATATACACCGAGAGGTAGCTGCCCTCTGCAACCATCCAGCAACACGACCCAGGGGGCCATCACAAGAAAACAGAGCATCGAGGGCCTGCTTTGGGTTCAAGCTAGAACTCCCTGTCCACGCAACGTTGAACTTTCTTAAATGTTTCCGTCTGGTCAGAGTCTACATTTCCCCGGGGCAGTGGCTGAGAGCAAAGAGCTGGCTGATGAGTCACGTGTTTACCACCGTGTCTTAAAGCTGTGTGTAGGTGGGGGCTGGCACGGTCCCTCACCGCTGTGGCTCAGCAAATTTAACCGGATGACAAAATGAGGATTTCTGGGAGGCATCTGATATTCAGGGGGCGGTGGTGGGGACCCACACACTGCCTGCAGCTACGATGCAGTCAGCGTTGTCTGGAGAAGGTGTGATGGCTCATCGGCAGTCAAAAAGTTGCCAAGAGCTAGTGGAGTGGAATTTAAAAAAGAAAGCTACCACCAGGAGGAGATACCTCTCCCACCCAGAATCGACAGGGGTAACGCAGGGAGCTACAAGAATGCAGAGGCACGTGTATTGGTCTTTCCAGTGACAAGATACAGGGAAGTGAGGCAGAATAGCGAGAAACAAGAGGCACCAGAGAGGACCCTGAATGGTGGCTGGGAAGCGAGAAGTGTCTCTCTTTAATCTGTGGTGCAGGAGACAGGACATGTACATCCCATGCACAAGAGGAGGAGGAAGAGGTCAGCACAGGAAAATAAAAAACAACCCCACAAAACCCAAGGAGTTTTTACTTACTCTCAGCCATGCAGGAAGAGATGACAGTAGCAAAGTGGATCCAACAGACTCAACCTTGGGAGACACAAAAGAAAATAAAAGCTTAGTTTAAGCTGGTGATTTTGAGATCCTTTCCCTATTCCTATAGGATGCGAAGGAGGATGAATGGCAGACCAATGACCAGACGCACAGAAACCAGAAAATTAGGGCAATACAATTATTTTGAGTCTTCCAGACTTGCAAAATCCATGCTAGCAGCTCCTTAAGTCCTGGCAGAAGACAGATGTCTTTAGTGAGCAGTTGTCTTTGACAAAGATTCTTAGTCGCTTATTCATTGCCTGTGTAATGGCTGTTATATCGTCAGCACAGCACAGAAGTGCCTTGTTCAGTAATTAAGTTGCTTCCCTAGCCATAATGTTAAATGGCCATTACATTTATAGCTTGGCAGCTTTAAGCTGGCAGCTTTTCTAGAAAGAGATCTAGAAAACCTGAGGCCCCAGCCATAGGGTAGTGGCAGCCTGGAGAGGGGATAGCAGTCATCTCAGATTCAGGCACCCTGATTTGCAAGAGCTTGATTCAAAATCAAAAAATGCCTTTAAACACAGCACTGACTGCTCCATGCAAAAATCTTAATACCACTCACTATATTCCCAAGTTTTACAGACCTCGAAACATGCAGGAAAGGGGTCTGCAACCTGCAGCTTGTGGTTGGCGGCACTGGCATGTGGCAGTGGGGAAGTCCTTAGCTCAGGGCATCCTGCCTTAGACCTGGCTCTATTAATTCAGCTCAAAGGTTCCCAGCCCCTGGTCCAGGATACCCACCCATGCACTAAAATCCTTCAGCAGATGCTGATACTTCCAGTGGCAGTTGCTTCCCTATACCTTGCACCTCCTAACTCCCTTGCAGTGCTAGCCAGACTTGGCTATTTTCACACTAGCTCCTCTGCTGAGGCCACAGGGAACCCCTAAGAGCTGACTTACGCTGCAGGGCAGGTAGATGCTAGTTAAGTTCAATGGTGTGATGAATCATAGAAAATGAAGGTCAGGAGGGAGCTCGGGAGGTCACATTTAGTCCAACTCTCTGCTCAAAGCAGGACCAGCCCCACCTAGATCACCCCAGCCAAGGCTTTGTCTAGCTGGGTCTTAAAAGCCTCCAAGGATGGAGAGTCCACCACCTCTCTAGGTAACCCATTCCAGGTATTCACTAGTGAGAAAGTTTTTCCTAATATCCAACCTCAACTTGTCTTGTTGCAACTTGAGCCCGTTGCTCCTTGTTGTCATCTAAACCCACTGAGAACAGTCTGGCTCCACCCTCTTTGGATGGAAGGAGTTGAAGGGAGTCAGTCTTCTCTTCTGCAGACTAAATAAGCCCATTTCCCTCAGCCTCCTGTGCCCCACCCCCCCCAACCATTTTCATTCCCCTGCACTCGACTTGCTCCAATTTGTCCACATCCTTTCCATAGTATAGACACAGGACTCCAGATGTGGGCTTACCAGCGGGCGAGTGAAGGTTGGCAGCTATTTCCTACCAGTTACAAGTCATTTCATAACTATCCCCGCTGTTCATTTGGTTGGAGATGGAATTTATGGTAGCGTTCACAGCGTTCTCTAAAATCGGGCAAGGGCTGGGGCCGATCCAGGGAGGGGTGCACTGGTGCGCTTCCACCCCTCCTTTGATCTCTGCTCCACCCAAAGTTGAAAGCCAGCCACTTGGCAGTGGTAGCAGCAGCAGCCTTTCTACTCAGGCAAAACTGAGGGAGTCCATTGACTTCATAGCTCAGTATAATCTACTTGATCCCTTCTAAACTCTTTATTCCCCAGTTTTAACAGACCTCTCTCCTTTGTAATAGTTGTGATGATCCGATCACACTAGCCTTTGTTCTGCAATTCTGCTGTGCTGGCTGCTTCTGATAACTGAAGCTCCTATTTCACAGCCCAGAAGACTTTTTTTTTTTAAATTATTCCCAGGAAGTTATATTTGATTTTGCTTCAGTACAGCCCTAGGCCCCTAGCCTAGGAATAAAGTTTCTAGTTACGTTTCCTCCAGTTAAAAAAATAATGTTGCATCATGTGCAAAAAGGCACCTCACAACCTCAACCCCCTCTTTTCCATCTGCCCACGTCCAGGGCTCGTTCCCTTGCAGCAGTTCCTACCCCAGAAGCTACGTTCTGCAAGAACTACTGCACTATGGAGCACCCCAGGGTGCTCGACCTGAGCTTTTGGACGCAAGCTCAGGTGTTGCCTGGCAGTCGGAAAGTTTCCTTTGCATCTTACCATTGAAGAACGGAGCTGCAAATACGTCAGCTGAAGGCAGTCACAAGTTCTAGAGTCCCAACATAAAAAGGAGCAGTAACCTCATTACCTGGGAGGAACTGGATTGGGTCAGAGCGTCTAAGAGCTTTATATAAAAATTTTCATAGTGGAACAAGTCCAAACCATGAACTAAAACCTGATTACAGACCAATTCACAGCCAGAAAGCTCCAGGCGGCAGCAGCCAGAACTAGACGACGGAAGAACAAAATGGTAAGAAGCAAGCTGGGGGAAGGGATCTCGCTTTGCTCAGCCAGTGCTTGTACTGAACTGGATGGCGTTTGTCTGTGAGGCAATAACTTTTGCATGCCACAGCTTCAGCAAAATATTCTGGGCCTCTGCTAGGAGGATTTGGCAAGAGTCTGGAAAGGGGAATGGAGATGACATGCGGAGCTCCTGGCAGCTCAGCAAGTGTCTACAGAACAGAACAGGTTGATAGCAGTCATTAAACACTTTCTGGCATAACAATGCCATCACCTGGGCTCTGCCCCTCCTCAAAGTGTTGTTAAACATTGACACCCCAGCAATAAAATGGGATCAGCCATCAGAGGGCAACTCAGAAGGGGTGGCGGGGGGAAAAAGAGGGGAAGCGCAGGGCACAGGAGGACCAGGTCC